AGTTCTAATCAAAGAATCCACAAATATTACATTTTCCTCCTTGTGCAACTTATGGGATCACCCGCATTCCTTGCTTTGGGCATTTGCCTCAACTGTTTTGTTAATTCAACCGATGCCCACTCTTACTACTGTGAGATAATATTCAGTCATAAATGTGCTTTCTCAACCACGTATGTTTAGTGGTGCACCAGTACTTTGGAAGATCAGTATCTGCATTCTAGAAATAAAATAAGTTATGTATCAATGTTTGGAAAGAAGAGCTGATGGCACCACAGTAGTTACATTCAAAGCACCCCAATCATGTTTTATGCTTTTGGTTGTTTTGCAATGAAAAATGATCTGCCAGGGTGATCAGCAAGTAAACCCTAATTGTCCACCCCCAAACAGTATGCTGCCATCCGTATATGGAAGCATTGTTGAACTCAACTGGTGATGATTGCAAGGCCTGAGAGAGATGGAAGTAGAGTCATGCCATAAGCTGAAGAACTCTGGACAGCTTTGGCATAACCTGATCCCTTACTGTTCCTGCTTGCATGTTGCATTGCTGGCCAATAAGGAGCATACCATGGAGTGTCACAGATAGTAACCCTCTTTGTAAACATCACCCCCACTGCAGTTTTCCACCACGTGTGGAGTGCAGTGACAGGCTGCTGTGTCACTTACCTGCAAATCATATCTGTCAACTTAGTTTCTTCTGTCTGTTATTTCCTGTCTTCTTCCTCTTTAGTGTTGACAAAAGTTGGGAGAGCTTTTGGACCTTCCTAAATTATTTGGAATGATTGTTGTTTGATATCTTAATCCCATGACAAGTGTGTTACCTTCAACTGTTGAAATCTGAAGCAAGATTAATGGGCTGACCTCAAAAAGCTTAGATACCAGCAGCAAGTGCCCAGAATATTTAGCTGAGGACCTGTCATTGGAAATGGCTTGGGTATCTTGATCACAACAATCATTGGGCAAGTGTAGTGTAGTGTTTGCCTACCAAGCATGCACTCCATTTGTACACAATTACCTTGGTCCCAAATCTAAATCGTACAGATTTGGCAAGCAGACCTTTAAGTTTACCCATCCACAACACGCAGTGTATACACCCAGGACCAGCTGGTTTGTATTATGAGAAACTGTTTGAATCCCAGGGGGCATATGAAGGGCTACTTATGTCCAACTAATTTTTTTTTCCAGAACATTAGCAAAGGCAGATGTATAAAGTCTCTTAAGTTTGATGTATTGTTGCTGGAAGACTCGAGGGGAAATGTGTATAATGACCTCAGTAGATGCTGGTATGACTCATGGTCCCCATTTCGCCATCGAATACTGGTTGCTGACAGATGTTATTAGATGGGGTCACCCTAAGCCAAAATGTAAATTTATATCCCTGTTTGATGCTGGCACATTCTGTAGTCAAAATCAAAATAATTCAACTCCCCACTGTCAGCGTCTTGTAACTCCATGCTCAATTTTCAACTTGCCGCAGATATTTGTTTGATATTGTTGTTTAAAAGGGAGCATTTAACCCTTGATCTTCCACCCATTCACTGTGCACAAGTGGGTAATGTAATCCTTCCAATGATAAAGTTATTTGCCTAAGCACCAAAGGCTCTCATGACTACTAAATTCACAATTTTAGTTTTATTTAATTCACATGTCTAATCAAAGTAAAAGGAAATGCTTGGAAAATAAGTATTGTTTTATTGCAGTCTGAACTATGAAGTTCTAATCAAAGAATCCACAAATATTACATTTTCCTCCTTGTGCATTTCTAATATCAGAATGACTAGTCTTGCAATGTTATGGGTATATTCTAAACAGTAGATTAGACGCTGCTATGTGATTTTTACAACTTACTCTATAATACATTGACGGACCTTCATTAAAATGCTAATAACTTCCTATTAGCTCACTGCTGTTGCTTCTAAGAGTTTTGTTCCAATTCAGTCTGACAAATTTGATATGCCATTTTTAGTGCAATTTCTGCTGCTTTTGCATTTGCATTCTATAAATTTCCAACTCCAGATATTTTATGATATGCTAGCGGTTCTTTTATACCTCCCCAAGTGAAAACATATTCATAAAAAAATCCACAACTGTGCAAAAAATGTATGAGAACACTCCTATTTTAGTTAAAAAGAATCCATTTCTTAGTTTGCTCTTTGCTCAGATTGCAGATTGAAATAGTGCCCATGGGGAAATATTTTCCTTCAATTGCTAATTCTGTTCCCTGCTTTATATTCACATTCATTTTTGTGCTAAAATTAGTGAGGGAGGAAAACATATTCCTTAATTAATAACACAAATCCTGCAAACCTCAGTGGAGTCAAGCTTCTGAATTGTATTTATGCAAAAAGGAATCTGAAATTCTCAAAAGGTGTTACGATGTCGATTCCCAATTTCGCACTGTGCTGCACCAAATCGGTCAGTGCTAAAGCTAGAAAAGGAAATTAAATTGTTTTGTCTAAGCTGAAATGTTTGAGTAACCTTTGTACCATTTTATTCATGGCATCTGTTTATTTTCTACTCAAACATGTGCCACCAGTTGAAATGACACACAAGTGTTCTGATCTTTATTTTTTTGCCTTCTCAGATGTACAAAGTGGTGGTAATAAAATCCGGCACCTACGATGGTAGCCAAGCTTATGTTGAACGGCGATACTCAGACTTTGAGAAGCTCCATAAAAGTATCTTGAGAAATTTTAAAGAAGAGATAGAAGGAATTATATTCCCAAAGAAAATTGTGGCTGGGAACTTCATGCAAGAAAAAATCATTGAACGCAAATTGGCACTCATGGACTACTTAGGGCAGTTGTATGCAATCAAAGACATCCGTGAATCAGATGAATTTATTGAATTCTTTTTCCTACCAGAGGTGCAAGAAGGATACAACTGTCTCAGAAGTGGACAGTACACCAGAGCTTTGAACTGCCTTCTGAATGTTCTTAGCTTGCAGGAAAAACTGTATATGCGTTACTATGATCGGCTTGTTCTTACACTCAGTGCTATCAGTGTGTGCTGCAGAGATCTGGGTAATATAGAAGATGCCTACCAATTCTGTGAGAAAGGTGGACTTATTTTGCCTAATCACAGTCGCCACAGGTACCTTATCCCTTTGCTGAAGGTTCAGCTAACTCTAGGTAATGAGCTAGGTAAGGACATGAGGCACCTCCAAAAAAAGCTGACAGAATTAGAGGAACAACGCGGCTGTCAAAGCAACCTGCCTTCACTGAAAGAGCTTGTGGTGCAGGAATACATTCAATAAGGCTTATGTCCCCTGTTTCAGTAAGTCTCCTCCCAAACAGTCAACTAAACTGCCAAATTGGTTATTGCCACACTTTTCGTAAAATATTTTCCGTGCATTTTAAAAAACACATTGCACTTTAATTTTATCAAAAAGGAGTGATTTTTCCAATAAAATTCCTGTTTTTTTATTTGTCTCTCACCAAAGGGAGAGGGAGAGAGAGAAAACAAAAGGGTAAAAAATTCAGTGAAATCTGCAGAGCGCAATAACCATAAAATCTGCAGGTTCCCCATACATGGCCTGACTTTTCAATGTCACAAGTCACAAGGCACCAGGTTATAGTCCACCAGGTTTATTTGAAATCACAAGGTTTCGAAGTGTTGCCCCTTTGTCAGGTGAAGTGAAGAAAAGCATACAGGCACAGAATTTATAGGCAGAGGGATCAAGGGCAGAGAGATTAAAAGATCAAACAAGTGGTATGAGTGGAGTGTTGATAGGCTGAATAATTAGTCTCTGTAGATGAGCAAAAGTGCCAGATGGACTACACCATATTCTTTGCATTGACGATAAACATTTCACCCAGATCATCCCTATGCCCCCACTTCTCACCTTCAATCAACCGTCAAACTTTAAACGGACCACCGTTCGCAGCAAACTACCCAGCCTTCGGGACAATGTTGACCATAACACCACACAACCCCGCCACGGCAACCTCTGCAAGACATGTCAGATCATCACACGTGGAAACACCACCCACCATGTATGTGACAGATACTCCTGTGACTTGGCCAACGTTGTCTATCTCATACGTTGCAGGCAAGGATGCCCAAAGGCATATATTGACAAGACCATGCAGACGCTATGAGAACGGATGAATGGACACTGCGCAACAATCGCCAGACAGGAATGTTCCCTCCCAGTGGGAGACCACTTCAGTGGTCAAAGACATTCAGCTTCCTGTCTTCGGGCAAGCACCCTCCAGGGTGCCCTTTGAGATACACAACAATGCAGAAGCTAAGTTCCGTACCCATGAAGATGGCCTCGACTGTGATCGAGTTCGTGTTGTGCTATATGTAACCCCACTACACTGTTCTGTATCTGTAAAATCTTCTTTACTAAGCTGTTTTAACACCATTACCTTGATAACTTGTTATGATCTCTCTACCTTAATTAGTTTCTACAGTTTGGATTATTTGTTACTTTGGTTAGACCCTCGGCATATGTTATTCCAGCTGTTTGGTTTGTCTCCAGCACCACCTTATTTTTAAACTTTTTGTAATTATCTCTTTGCCTCAATTAATGGGCCATCCCCTTCACTTACTATCCAGCCGGTGACACTTCAATCACACCGTCTGACACTTTTGATCACCTGCAGTGACTTATTATTCAGCCTATCAACATTCCACTCATATCATTTGTATGATATTTTGATCTCTCTGCCTATAAATTCTGTGCCTGTATACTTTTCTTCACTTCACCTGACAAAGGAGCAGTCTGAAAGCTTGTTACTTCAAATAAACCTGTTGGACTATAACTTCGTGTTACATGACGACTGACCTTGTCCACCACAGTTCAACACTGGCACTTCCACATCATGACTTTTGAATGATCTATATTCCAGTTTCTGGTCTTCATAATTTAACAGAAGCATAAAACTGAGCAGTGGACAAATAGATATTACTGATCCATCTTTGGATATGTAAATGAAGAATGTTTGATTTGTATTGTTCGGTCTCCAAACTCCAAAGCCTCGCTTGCTCTCTATCCTGTCAGATTGATCAGCACCTGTCTGAGGTGAGACTTCCATCTGAATGAGAGGTAATAGATACATCTCGAGCCAATTAATAATTTTAAATTGCTTTTAGTGCTACTGTGGTTGGTGGGGATGCATTCCATTGTAACTTTAGGTGGTGGGACAGGAATCTCCTCCATCCAGAAACTCCTGCCCATGGCTACACAATGAATAATGTTGGGAAATGAACATTTCAGGGTTCACAATATTTGAAAAGACAAGCAGAATTGAAAGGGAGGAGGCTTAACCCTGATAATAAAGGAAGACCTAAGGACATTCATGGGAACAGATCCTGGATTAGGAAATCAGTGCGGGTGTAGATTAGGAATTGTAAGCATCAGGAAACGCTGGTGGGAGTAATTTACTTGCCTGTTAATAGTGGTTATATTATTGAACAAAGCATTGAACAAGAAACTATTGGAGATTACCACAGGTAATGCTTTAATTGTGGGGGACTTTAGTCTTCATATAGACTAGACCAGTTGAATTGGTAAAGGCAGTCTAAAAGATGAGTTTGTAAAATGCTTTTATATAGTTTTCTGGAGCAATATGTTATGGAACCGACCAAGGGTAAAGATATTTTAGGTCTAGAATTCAATGAGGCAGAGTTCATTTGTAATGTTAAATGGTCTTCTTCCGGTCCTATGTCTTATGTTCTTATTATCTTATGCTCTTGCAATTCAGAATTAATACCACCAAAGAAGCAGAGAGCACCCTGATCATGCTCTGATCATAGTTAAAAAAAATGGTCTTTTGCCCTCAACTAACCACATTAAATGTGCAAGATCATAAGTTGTTAACAGTTTTATATTTTAGTTGTATGTTTTCATTTTATGACAAAATATGAAATTTAATTCAATACATGTACTGCATTGACAATGTGCTTTAATAAATGCTGAGTATTGATAGCGATGTCAGTAGAGTATATGCTTGAGGCAAGTGACATCCATCAATAGTGTTAGTTTGTCACTTTTTTTATTCGCTGATGCAATGAGAGTGCCACTGGCCAATCCTGGAGAACACGGTGGTGAGCTGTCATTCTGAAGCATTGCTGTCCTTGGGCTGTGAGGGCACATGCAGTATTGGTAGGAAGGTTTTTAGGATTTTGATCCAGTAATAGTGAAGGAATGGTGATGTCATTTCAAGTCAGAATGCTATTTGGAAGGCAACTTCTCTGCAAGCTGCTGAAGCCGGAAGCAGGAGGGATATGGCTTCTTGTTTAAAAAAAAAACTTTACAGAGGTATCTTAGGAATCTAGAAAATTCATCCTGACATGATTTGTTGTGAGGAGGTAAGGATGAGAAAAATCATCAGATCAGGTTCACTGCTGGCAGAGGATTTGTAAAACTCTCTGAAAATTGAGAGAAGATCCTGGAGACAGTCTAGAAATGGAACCCATTGGAAATTGAAGTGACTGTGCACTGCTTGCTATGATGACTGTTTGATACGTTTAAAAACAGGAATGTTCTTTTCTATAGTTTAACTTCTAAATCATCTGTGGAAAGAAAATGTAATGTAGTCTATAGTATCCTTTAGTCAGCTTTTGCAATAAATGTTTTAAAATGTAAAATGTTGTCATGTCATCCTTTTTAGATATTAACTGCAAGTTCAAATTTCTTTTTAAATGTATCAGTCTCTAATGTAATTATAACACAGTCACTTGCCAATGTTTTCAAGAACTATGATTATTGGAGGCAGAATCCTTTTTAACAGCAAATAAAACAATTTACTGTAATTTCAAAATAATTGTAACCAATATATTCAAGATTGCATTACCAGAATGTAATCCTGAAGGAATGTACTAAACCAAATGTATCAAATTGATAGGTTATAGGGTCTTTAGCAATCATGAAATATGTAGCTAGTAGCGTCTGGTCTAAATTACAAATTTTTGTTTACTCATTCACAGGAAATGGACATTACTGACCAGGCAGTATTTATTGCCCATTCCTAATTCATCCAGAGGGTAGTTGAGAGTCAACCACATTGCTGCGAGACTGAAGTTATTCAACAATAGTACATATATATATATATATAAAAAACAGACCCACACATCAATTCACATACAGTTCCCTGACTAGCTTAGCTGGAAACATATAAGGCATGAGGTGCAAAGTTTATTCCCTGATTTGTGTTGAGTCTGTTAGTTTTAGCAAAGGTAGAATATTCGGACATGTTTAACACTGGATAGGGAAATATCCAGCACAAAGATATCTTTTCCTGACCTGCTTCCAAGAAGCATCTGGAAACAAGATGTTTAAGTTTCGTTGGGGTTCATCACATTTGAATAACCATCTGTCCTCTGGCTCACACACTTGTACGAGTCATCAGAGGCTCATTGCTGCCCTTCCAACTGTAACCCACCATAAGTCATGAGGCTTACCATCTATCCCACTCATCGTATTGATCAGCTCACACATTGTTATCAGAAACAAAAACAGAAATTGCTGGAAGACTCAGCAGGTCTGGCAGCATCTGTGGAGAAGGCAAAATTAACATTGAGACCATTGACCCTTCGCAGATTTCCAGTATCTGCAGTTCTTTGGTTTTTTAAATTTTCTTTGGGTTTTTGTTATTGTCACACATTATTATGCTATCTATGAATTATCAAGCCAGTCTATTCATGAATTGTAAATCTGACTGAGACTTCTTCATGATATATTCTATATCAGCAGCCTCTCCCAGCAAGATGTGGAGGAACACTGAAATCAATTGTTATCTCAAGGTATCCTCAATTGGACCTTTTCCTGTTTAGTTGCACATAGGATAGCTGAGTTTTGCAAAGTACAGACCATGTTGCATGTGCTGCCCATTAAAATAAATTGCTATCACGTGTTTCTGAAGAGATTCACCATACTGCGTGTAGTGACCACTTCTGCAACTGAGACGAAATAAAAAGTCCACTTGTACAATCTAAATTAAAACTTCTGAGATTTCAATCCCGATCGAGGCCAATAACTTTTCAACATAAATTCAAACTTACTGTTAAAAGCTGCAAAAAAGTTTCTGGTCTTCTGAAGATGCACTTATTTCTCACATCAGTTTGATGCCTCATCATTCTCTATAGCCCTCCCTTTGCCTTTTGCTGTGGGACACCCGCATCATGTTTTTCACTAGCTCCCGCTTCCCCCCCCCACCCCTGCTGTTTTTACAGTATAAACCCAACTCTTTACCAGCTTCAGAGATAGCAGGAACTGCAGATGCTGGAGAATCTGAGATAACAAGGTGTAGAGCTGGATGAACACAGCAGGCCAAGCAGCATCAGAGGAGTTCCGTAGGCAGGTACTAAGAAAGGTGATGTGGCTGCGCTACATGATTTGCTTTTCTGAAGAATGGTCTAGGCCCGAAACGTCAGCCTTCCTGTTCCTCTGATGCTGCTTGGCCTGCTGTGTTCATCCAGCTCTACACCTTGTTATCTTTACCAGCTTCCTCCAGTTTCAAAGACTCAAAACATTCATTCTGGGTGGAATCTTACAGGGTCCTGAATAACATGGGCAATGGCAAGACATGTGACAGAATTGGGTGAGAAGTCCAATAAGAGCAATCTTGCCATTGAGGACAACTTGCTGCGCCTTTTATGCTGGATGGGGTGAAGAGTTTCATGTTAGGCAACAGCGAGTTGTCATTTAAGGAGGCTTTATCTGCTAAATAAAAACAGATGTTGCTGGAAATCTCAGCAGGTCTGGCAACATCTGTGGAGAGAAAGCAGAGTTAACGGTTTGGGTCCAGTTACCCTTCTTCAGAACCCTCTTAAATACCTGTTAAACACCTTATTTATGTCAAAACTCACCACATCAGTATTCAGCTTCCTACTTCCAAAATGCACTGAACATGCTAGACATCGAAAAGTCTCAATGTGGAAGCCAGAGCAGCTGCTTGGTGACTTCAGCTCACCATTTTTTCTAAAGGATCTCTATATAGGACACCGGGGCACTGACGTCTCAACGAACACTCCATGGGTACGGGCTACACACACCCCACATTCACCAGCATGGCATTTGACATGTGTCAGCCTTGAAGAACTCACATGGCACATCTCCAAACCAATGGCAGGACGCTTCTTCATCTCAGGCTGCACCAGTAACTACCATTCAGCTTCTGACCTCATTAAAGCCTTGGTTCAAAATGGACAAAAGAGCTGAATTTCAGAGATGAGGTGAGAGCGATGGCCCTTGACATCAAGGCTGCAATCGACAGAGTCTTTTTTTCAATTCATTCACAGGATAAAGATGTCGCTGGCTAGGCCAGCATCTATTGCCCAAACCTAACTGCCCAGAGGACAGTTAGAGTCCACTGCATTGCTGTCAATCTAGAGTCACATGTAGGCAAAACCAGACAAGAATGGCAGTTTCCTTCCCTGAAAGGACATTAATGAACCAAATGGATTTTTCCGACAATTGACAATGGATTGATCGTCACCATTAGCCTCTTAATTCCAGATTTTTAAAAAAATTCAAATTCCACCATCTGCTGTGCGTAGATTCAAACCTGGCTTCCCAGACAGTATATGGGTCTCTGGATTAACAGTCTAGAGATAATAGCACTGGGTCTAAGACCAACTAGAACAGAACTAAATTTTGGATGTAAATGAAATAGCTATTCTATTAAATGACTACTTCATCCAAGTACAGTATTTGTTAGGGAGAAGGAACAACTTACATTTCAGAACTAGTGATAATCCAGGTTACTAATCAAAACGAATAATATAGAGATGTGAGATAGCCTGTAAAAGACACAAAACAAGTAGCATTTATCATAAAAGACAAAAGATGAGATTTACAAGATGTTGTGGTAATAATGAGTTGTTTATAAATGCCAAGACTTGTTTTTCAATTGGAAGTGGGCAATGTTCACATATAACATAAAAATAAAACTACATTTTATTTAACCTCGCATTCACACTTAGTACAGTAACAGATTGCTTTTATGATAAGAAATGATCAAATATCAACCAAAATATTTTAAGGCTTTTCCAACCAAGGGAAAGTTGCACCTTGACTATTTTGAACATACAGATATTGTACTTTCAACAAGGCAAGCATGACAAAATTTGCCTGAAAGATTGCTACATCAGGTTAAAGTGGCATGGACTCAAAGTAAAAACAGTAAATGAATAAAAAAATGAATGATGTGTAGGATTGAAATGATGCTGATTACAAGAATGACACCAGGCTGGGAATAGGGTTGGTGGTTTGGTAGTTGCCCATTGGAGTTTCAGAATTGTTTCCAATTTATTGTTAACTTCTTGAAGTCAGAAGCTTAATAGGAATTATTCAGATCCACTGGCACTATGGTTAAATAGGTAGTTAAATCTGAAGAGATTTTCAAAGGCAAACCACTTCCTTAAAGCTTTGCCTCAAGTTCCTTCGCTCTAAACTAAACCAATTAAGACAGGTTTGTGGAGTTCTTGATCAGTTTAAGACAACCTGCACAATATTTTGCCATTTTTTATATATCTGCTACAGCTTTCAGCTGACTTGATTCTACTTTTTGAAACTTTTTGCCAAGTTTTATTACAGTTCTCTCCTCCTTCAAATTCCTTTTCAAACTCCACTTTTTAACCCCACATCTTTAACGATTTATCTAATTTTCCTTTATGTTTTAATGCTTTCTTGGCAGCAATTTAAATATTACAAGCAATGTAATAAATACAAATTGATATAATTGTCAATGTACATTCAAAAATTTGTGAAGATATTTGTGAAATCAATAGAATCCATCTGATAAATTTGGACCAAATCAAGGCTTTTGGTGACGTAATGTCAAGTAGGTAAGACACACTACTTTTAAAATAACAAAAGTTTCAATGACTATCCTTGCAAGAAGTTTAAATTGGAATGCTAAAGGAATACACATTCTAATGCAGGGATCAAAAGCATTTTAAATGCATTGTTTTATAATCCAGATTAAGGCTAATATATTTCACTCAATTCATAGAATCCCGACAGTGTGGAAACAGGCCCTTTAGCCCAACAAGTCCACACTGTCCCTTGGAGCATCCCACCTAGACCCATACCCCACCTAAGCTACAATTCCCTGAACACTATGAGCAATTTACCTAACATGCACATCTTTGGACTGTGGGAGGAAACTGGAGTACCTGGAGGAAACCCATGCAGACATGGGGAGAATGTGCAAACTCCACACAGACAGTTGACTGAGGGTGGAATTGAACCCAGTCCCTGGTGCTTAGAGGCAGCAGTGCTAATCACTGAGCCACTGTGCTGTCCCCGCCATTTTGAAAAATGTGTGTACCTTTACTAAGCAAGTTCTCTTCTCTGCACTAAATTTACTCCTAAGTATAGATTTTGCATCCACTGAGTAGGAATCAATGGTATATTTGGTAACTGGTGTTATAATTTTCAGCCTGCTCCAGTCATTAGTTTGCTGGCATTTGCCATTATCCTGATATATCCCATATACACCAGTAGATGGCGGTGACATATTGCGAGATGCACAACATTAGACCGAAGTGTCATCAGAGAATTATTTAAATATTTTCTGCTCTTAAAAATCTTCGAATACAAAGAATAGTCCATAACTTCTGGTGAGCATTATTAGTAATCTCAA